ATAGATTTGAGGGATGACATTTTGAAGCGTCTGTACACCAGAAACCTGTTCAGGCGCTTGAGGTCTAGAATCGCCCTCCAGCCCCCCGTGCTCTTCGGAACCACGAAGAGGTTGGAGTAGTGGCCGAGGCCTCGTTCCCCTAGAGGAACCGCCTCCACCGCCCGAATGTCAAGAAGGTGGGCAATCGCCTGATCCATCAGGTGGCGGCGCTCCCGACTCCGAGGCGGAGGGAAGGACCGAAAGAGGTTTGGAGGAGTGGAGAGGAATTCTAACCTGAGACCGTGACGAACCATGGCTCGGAACCAAGCGTCCGAGGTGATTTCGTCCCATCCATCCGCATAGAGGGAGAGGAGGCCGCCGATGGGACGACTCGGGTTCGAGTCACTTCCCCCTGTGGTAGGGACGGCTGCCTCCGCCACGAAAGGGCTGCCTGGCCCTGGAAACGATTCCTGTCCTGTAAGAATGGCCCGGAGAACTGCCTATCAGCTGGGAAGGAAGAAAAACGCTGGTTATATCCGTAATCTGTGGCTCTATACCTCTGCCTGCAGAAAGGACACGACTTAGCCTTGGGCTTCTTAGCAGTAGAAGGAAGAACCTTCTTCTTGTCCTTATCCTCCACTAGGATGGGGATGAGGGCTTCCCTGAAAAGGTTCGGCCCCTTGAAGGAAGCGGCCGCCAAATCCCATTTAGCTTTGTTATCCATCTGCCAGTGATGCAACCAAAGAAGCCTACGAGAGGTGACAGAGGTGGCCAAGGCACTGGAGGCAAACTTGACCGTGTCCAGGGTTGCATTAGCGGAGAAGTGGCAGGCCGCCAAGATCTTAAACAGATCCTGGTGGAGCTGCTTGTCCTAGATAGGAATATGCTCCTGCAGCTTCTTAAGCCACATGACCGTGGCGCAGTTAAAGTAGGAAGCCGACGCCGCGGACTTAATAGCCCACGACGTGGTGTTAAAATTCTTCCGCAAGGTAAGCTCTGCGCGCTTATCCTCCGGCTTCATCTTATCTGCCGCGTCGCCCGATACCATCGGAAAGGAGGAAACAAGGGCGGCCACCGGGTTGTCAATGGCAGGCAGCTGAATGACCTGAGAAAAGGTCTGCTCCACATTATAGTTCCGGCGGTCATTACTGCCAGGGGCTGAGAAATTGGAGGGGCGAGCCCACTGGTTGGGCAAGACCTCCATAAACAGGGGGGAAGCAGGTATCTCCTCCTTGTTGGTGGCCGTAGCAGAAAACATGGCCATGTCAGGATCCCAATGAGGGGGCACTGAAGGATCCCCCGTCCCA